AATTATATAACCTGAATCAAATAAAGTGCTACAACTAGTTACACTGAGTCATGCATAATTGTGCTACAACATGTTGATACAGGTGTAGCATATACAGCGTGAGTACACCTACCTGCCTCATGTTATTTATGTCATAAAACTGCAACAAAGATCAGCCAAAGTAAAATAATAAATTGCCAGTTGCATGAATCCGAAGGTGCACCCTTACATATTGGCATATATCTATAAATATCTATAAATATTTATCACACCCAATATTTACTTTTTCTGTCCACTCATTTGCTGCTACACTGCAGACTTCTGAGGTCAATTTTTGTTTCTTTTTCACTGCCTTCCAGCACACAGATTACTGTTATGTGCACATTCACAGATTTGCAGATGCAGAAGTATTCTTCACTGATCATGTTTAAACTTTTTGATTCCGTACACACCCAATATTATAAGCCTGTAAAAGAGGCACTCTAATTCGATAATAACCAAATGGCCACTTAATTGACTTTACAGCAAAAAGTTGTGGGTGGTACAGCTTAAGGTTGTGCTCTTCTTCACAGACAGATCTCTAGATTCATAAACCAATTTTCAGTAACCCTGCCGAAACATGTTTTGAAACTCTAATTGTTTTGTTTACAAATATTGATGTTTATGAACAGGGCAAAAACTCTCCAAACCATGCCAAGAAGGTTATGCATTGGCTGATGATTGGCTTGGACAAATTATTTGAGTCTTTACTACGATGTAGACATAAAGGCTTTATAAATTGCAGCATGTAGCTTTAAACTGCATGCCCTCAGTCAAGAGGTGAGTAGAATCTCCTTAATATTATGCATCTGGCAAGAGCTGTGGTCCTGTGGTGGATCAGATAGACATGCAAATGTGTCAGTGACAGCCCTAGCGTGGGGGAAGCACAGATGGGCAGAAGGCCGATCTAAGTCCCTCCTGTGACTCAGTCAGTGTCACACACATACACATACACAGCCTGGCAAAGTGCTCCATGAGCAAACTGGCACTGTAGAAGAATCAAGTACATATTTATATGCATGTTTATACATATTTATCTCCTGGTATCTTGACTAAACATGCATGTGTAATCAAATAATGTGGGTTTATAACTTATTTACACACTTACATGAAAGTTTATGTGTTCTTATGCATCTTGAGTGTGTGTAGGTATGTGTTTGTCCATATTCTAAAATCGTTAGTAATTTTGCGGTTGTGTATTGGTCTGCACGTTTGTGTGTGTGTGTGTGTTTGTGTGTATGCGGCTGCTTATGCATGCACTGTGTGCATGTCAGCACATTCTGAAAGGCTGTCTAAGTCAGTCAGTTTGTGTGATAGGCATAGCATGTTGTGTGTTTGTGTGTGTGTGTGAGGGAGGACCAGGGTGTGTGGCCTGCTTTCCTCCCTGTACAGATGAATCATGACAGCTGCAGGAATGTGCTCCACTCATCATTTGTGCCCTGACTACAGAAGCAGCCTCTCACTTCCCAATACCTTTACAGGAAGAACAGAGCCTACTGTTTATATTTACATAACTGCAACAGCAGCTAAAATGTTCCAGGGCTGCAGGGCAACATTAGTGTGTGTGTGTGTGTGTGTGTGTGTATGTGTGTGTGTGTGCGTACATACATGTATGCGTGTATGCTGATGAGGTCCAGTTACCTCAGCTATTATCAGCTTTCAAGATAATTGTTATTGTACATTGTGTATAATAATATTAAAACCAACTTGCTGTGCATATTAAGCAAAAATCACAAAAACATGGCTCCACAGAAAGCTGCAAAGAACATGACTTATAAACACTGTCTAAAGTATATCCGTCTTCAAAAGAAGTACAAAAAGTCTTCATCTGTTGGTAAATTTGATTATGGATGAAAAAGCACACACTGGTAAACAACAGTGGTACACAGACACTGAAAGAATGAAATACTTCATGTCTCTACTTATCCTACACATGCACAAACATGCAGGTGATTATATTTCGGTCAGTTCCTCTCCTACTCTGTTTTTATGTACAGTACTGTGCAAAAGTCAGTAATAGTCTCTTTGTTAATTTAATTTCCGGTCAAAATGCCCATCAAGTACTTCAGTTTTTCAGTTCCCAGTGTCAGAAAAAAGCAATTAATATATTCAACAGAAAAATTACACAAAAGCTATCAAAATGCAATCTGTCCACTCTTATGTGCACTACACTGTCAATTTAACTTCCCCATCCTTCTTAAAATCAGTTACAGCTGTGTCCTCCCAAACAAAGAAGTCATTGACATTACATTCCCTTTCAAAAAGACACTAACATTCACACAAGCAAAAACTGTAGTTCAAAAAATGATTAAAAGAGAAAAATGGTTCTACTAACAACCATACCAGACCTGTTAGAACACTAAACTGTCACTGTCAGATAAACAGTCCTTAAAGCTTTCATTTTTGAGAGACAGGAGAAGAACAAGCTTCAGATCTGAAAAAAGAAGACAACATGCTGTAGAACACTGACATTGGACATCTGAGACGGAATAAGGTTTTATGGACTGATGAGCCTAAATTTGCAAATGAGACTACTGAAACCAAAGACTGAACTTTGGAGGTGTGTTTAACTAAAAGCAAGTCTTCTGAAAAGAACAGAAGCTCTGATAAAGGCAAAGTGTGAACACACTAACAACTGCAAGGTTATATGATATCATATTTATTTATTAATGCATCTGTGTATTTTTCTGTAAATATGTTTTCTGCTTTTTCTTCTGAAAAATGAATAACTTTTACTCAATAGTCGTTTTGACAGGAAATTAAATAAAGGCCCAGTACACAGTACCAGAGTGAAAATTCTTCCTAAAGCCACCTTTTTTGTTCAGTATAAAAGTCTGAACATTATTTGTTGAAAACAATAACTATAAAGCACAGTTACTGCCACACTGTAAGAGGAGTACAACAAAACAGACTGTGCAACACAGACACACTGCTGAGATGATACCCATCTCAGACAGCAAGTCAGAGCACATCAGCACAGTCACAGACGAAGCCTGGCACAGAAAGTACACAGAAATATCTCGATTTGGTGTATATGGGTTGGTAAAGTATGACGACTTATGCATGACTAAAATTACATACAATGAGTATGTTGCTGAAGAGGGAATACTGAAGGTTAACACATGTATAGGCTACTATGTGCTGAAAGGGAAAAGCCATCAGACATACAGTACCAGTCAAAAGCTTGGATACGCCTACTTATTGAAAGGTTTTCCTTATTTCTTTTTTTTATATTGTGGAATAATAGTGGTGACATTAAAACTATGTAATAACACATACAGAATTATTTAGTGATCAAAAAGTATTTTATATTTTATATATTATATATGAGTATATAAACACAGGTCACTTTATTAAGTACACCACCTTTGTATCTATACTTACCATATAGGTGCACTTTGTAGTTCTACAATTAGATTGTTTCTCTGCATAACTTTGTTAGCCTTCCTTTAACCCTTTGGTCAGGACCCCCACAGAACCACCACCGAGCAGGGATTATTTGCGTGGTGGATCATTTTCAGTGCTGCAGTGATGTTAACATGGGAATGACACTTTAGTAGGTATGTGAGCTGCACAGAGTGGATCAGACACAGCACAGCTGCTGGAGTTCTTAAACTCCTCAATGTCACTTCTTGATTGAGAATAGTTCATCAACTAAAAATATCCACCAAAGCATATTGCAGACAGAAACTGACCAAACTTCGTAGAAATACAAAGTGCACTTATAAGTTAAGTGGACCTGACCAAATTGACAATGAGTGTAGATAAAGCTAGGTAATAAAGTGACCAGTAAGCTTTTATTTTGGTTTCTAAAATGTAGCCACCCTTTGCCTGTGCATACTTTTGACATTCTTTTAAACAGCTTCATGAGTATCCACCTTGGATGCTTCTCCAGCATTCTTGAAGAACTTCCAGATCAGCTGAAAACATTTAGGCTGCTGAAAAAATATGTTTTAAATTTTAAAATAAATTGGTTGGGAAATAAACTTGTACAAACACATCAACTTAACTATTTATATTCTGCTTAGAAACAAATATCAAGCATTTAAGCATAATACAGGATGTGTCATTTTTTTAATCAGATACAGCTGCTCTTTTTCAGGATAAGAGTTTCAAGGAAACAGGATTAGTACCTTTTGAGAAAGTAGGTCAAAATAAGTCAAAAGGACCTATAAAATGTACTCATGGTGTAGCTTCAAATATTGCACACAGACCTGAATAATTCACAGATTTGCTAAAAAATAGTAATAAAACCTAAACTCTGCAAAAATAATTTTGAAAACTGATTGAAACATCAGATTGCTAAGATGACACAAAAACACACTCTATATATTCTTGTTTTGTATGAATTTGCTAACATGAAAGCAGTTGATTTAAATTAAAAAATCTTAATGTTGTATTCATACCTAGGTAATATTTCAGCTTAGTTCAGTCATTCTGTAAACTCAATATTTAAGATGCAGTTTACAGCCTAATGGGGCAAACTTTAAAAATTCTTAACTAAAAAAACTTAACTAAAATTAGGAGGACAGTTTTAAGATTTTGCATTGCACTGAGACAGTCCCTCAGTGAGTTAGCTTGGAATAACTCACAAGTGTTTAGATCAAAATTTCTTTAAGCTTATGAAAAAAAAAAACCTGTCAGGTGTGTCCAAACTCTTGACTGGAAGGGTAAAGCCATCACTATCATGTAACTCAAGAGGTGCAGCCTCTCACAGCCCAGCTGTGTCCAGATAAGTCCAGCTAAGCCTCACCCTTCTCACCCTGCTGCTTTCTATAATATGCACATCTGCCTTTCCGTATATCTGCCAAACAGGTGGAATACACAGCCACCGTGCACTGTGCAGCCTCCTGCAGTGACGGTGGAGGTGGGGGGATGTGGGGTTGTGGAAGAGCGTAGGGGAGGGGGTGACTGTCAGTTTAGCTGTCTAGGCTAGTCTAGGCAAGGCAGAGCAAGAAGCAGTGGGTTAGTAGGGTTAGTACCTGCCAGAGTACGGGACCAGGCTTTGGCACAGGGCAGGCGGGGCGGGGCCGCAGCCCACATCCCCTGACCCCCCTCTGCACAGGTGGGGGGAGGGAGGGCTGGTTTCCCCAAGATGTTTGTGGATGACACTGTAAATGGGCTCGGCCCTAGTGGGGGTACAGAAATCACACAGTGAATGGGGCTGGCTAAGACACACAGAGACAGCAAAAACAGAGACAGACACAGGAAAATGTACTGCACATACATACATGCACACAGACAGAGACAGACACGCACGCATGCGTCAGTGAAGATGCATTCATCTTATTCAGTAGAAGGGGCTGGAGGGCTCTCATGTCCCCGTACTGGATAGCAGCAGGTTGGGGCTGGACCAACTCACAAGCTCCATGCTGTATTCGCTGTGAGACTGATCTCATGCCCAAGAAATGATGGACAGTTTTTACACACTTAAAGGCTGAATCTTTAACTGTCTATGACGTTTGACCCAGTGTAGAATCACCTCTTGTCCAGGAGTGTTTGCTCCGCTTGTACAGGCCTAAAGAGACTTGCTTGCTCACATGTTTCCATTTAGGCCATGTCCACAAACACGCCACCACACAGAGAGGCATAACACAGAGACATCATAGACGTTCCTCAGCCCACACCCTCCACCTACTCGAAAAAGTTTGTTTGTTCTCTTTAGTTCCATCTTTGCCCAGTTATATCATAACATGTGATGTGAACTCTGTGAGTCAAATATAATCAAAGGAAATTAAACAGATAAAGCAAAATATAGAAAAATAAAAAAGTGATAATCATGTGTAATACATGGCAAATTCCCATCTTGATAAAACACAGTAATACATGCGTGCACTGATTTTTTTGACACTGTGTGAGTTGTTTTATAAACATCAATTCCAAAAAGTTGGGATAGTATGTGAAATGCTAATAAAAGCAGAAAACAGTAAGTAGTAAATTCTGTTTGACCTGTATTAAATAGAAAATGTTAAAAACATTGTATTTGATCTTATTAACCTGTTAGTTTTTAAGTGTTTTTTTTATTTTTTTAATGTAAAAATATGCTCAATCCAAATTTACTGCTTGCAAAATATTCACACTTACTAATCATTTAGGAACTGAAGACACCAATTGACCCAATTTTGAAAGCAGAATTTTTTTGCAATTCATCTGTTATATAAGCCCTCAGCTGTGCAACCATACAGGTCCTTGTCATATTTTACACTTTATAACTGACCACACGTTTCCAGTGGGGAGATGTTTTTATTACAGGCAGGCCAGTCTAGTACCCGCACTCTCTGACTACACAGCTGTACAGTTGTAACTCATGCAGAATGTGGCTTAGTGTTGTCACGTTCAAAAAAGCATGGAAGTTGCTGAACGTTGTCTAGAACAGGCCTGCTGCCCTGCACTTTTGAGTGCTTTTCCTGCTTTAACACAGGCATTTTAACTCAATAATGGGATGTTAATAAGCTGATTCATTGGAACAGGTGTATTGAGAGCAGGGAATATGAAAGGTGAACTCTTCAGACCACAACACGCGTTTGCACTGTCCATCAGCCCATTTTAGATGAGCCCAGAGAAGTCGGCAGCGTTTCAGTATGTTGGTGACATATTGCTTTTGCTACACATAGTACAGTCTTAATTTACATTTGTGGATGCAGCAATAAAACATATTTATTAAGTTTTTCTGTGCCCATCTGGTGATATGCATCAGAGTAGCATGCCAGGTTTTAATGCAGTGTCATCTAAGGAATCGGCCCTTCAGTTGTGGTTTTTGGCCTTCTTTGTTCTTTTAATGATATGATGCATTATAGAGGGTGAAACATCTAGAACTCTTGCAATCACTCATTAAGAACCTTTGTTCTTAAACTGTTGGATAATTTATTGACAGGGTTTTGCTCCTTTTATTCCTAAACATGACTGCATGACCTGCTTAGGATGCCTTTTGTACATTTCACAATGTTCTTCTTAAACTGCCCTGTCCTATATTTTTTTTTATAATGTTGCAGGCATCAATTCCAGAATGAGCATATATTTAGAAGAAACAATGAGGTTCATAAGGTATTATGAGGTTCATAAGGTATTATGAGGTTCATAAGGTATTACATTAAATGTCTTGACTGTTTTTGATTAGTACAGGTCAAAGTGGATTTACAAATCACTGCTTCCTGATTTTATTTGCGTTTCACATACTGCTTTCCTTTTTGGAATTAAGGTTTGTATTTCATAGTGGAGCGAATTTGTGAAGGCGGAGAACTGACCTAGTGAAGTCGTCCTCCCCCAGCATGTGCCGTGGCACTGGGGAGTAACGTGACGGGGTGACCTGCGGAGGCTGGTACACGGGCTTGGGCTCCATGGCTCCCATGTATGCCATGCTGGAGTTGTGGCTGACGTGGTTATCCACCATGGTGGGGAAGGCTGGGGGGAGGGCGAGACCAGTAGAAGGAAAAAGAGAGATGATTAGTCCTGAAGTGGTTAACGCCGGGTGGAAATGTCTGTGAATTGTGTATATGTGTGTAAATGTGTGAGAGAAAGAGTGCGAATGCAAGTGTTTGAGCCTGGTTGGTGCTTGGCAGAGTGTTTAGGTGTGACTCCACACAGATTTGTGTGCGCCTCCTCACTCAGCAGGAGAGTGAGAGGAGGGCTGTGTGTGGAGCAGCACAGTGGGCAGCACTGCAGCATGTGGGAGTCTGAGAACAGAGCAGTGCGCCCACCGCTACAGCACCGCATTGTTACAAAACTGCACGAGCATAGCAGCCTCTACGGCAAAGCACTTCTCTACTTCTTAAGCTGTGAATAGCATGGATCATCTATGGGCAGCATGTTGAGTTTTATCACTTTACTGTTCTATTTTACATATTGCAGTTCACTCTGAGGATCAAAGCTGCAGTCTTAATAAGTCAAATTTACAGTTTTCTCCTTACACCAAATGTAGTTTGGCGTCTAAGGTTTGCTATGAGGCTAATGTAGCTGACAAGTAAAGGAAGCTTAAATTCCACCATGTATCATCATGTAAACTGCATGTCTGAATCTTCACACATTTGCCTCAAACTGCATGGAGCTGTATGGAGCTATTACGTAATCACAACTACACTTGCATGCGTGGTTTCTGACCCTGTAGGATAAACTGTCGTCTATTAAAATGAACAAAATATGTTGCACAGCCAAAACCAGTAGTAGCAGCCCACTTGAATCCTGATTTTCATGTATACTTTTTTTGTCCATTTTCATCAGGCCCACATCATGTGGGGGGTGGGTTTCCAAGGATAGGCTTAGACCGCACTTGGAAGACACTAAGCCCCCCTACCCAGACCTGCCAGAGCTGTGTCAGAGAACAGTAAACTTTTATTATTATTATTTATGATATACACATCTGATTTGTTTTTTTTTTTTTTGGTGAATTTTGTCAAAGTCATGACACTCTCTGTGTCATTCCTAATTGTACCCAAGCTCTGCCATATTTTCTTATCCCTCCAATCACTGCTCAACAGCCTTTGCTATTCACTATTACCTCGGTCAAGATTTAGGTTCTTTAGCCAGAGTTTCACGGTAACATATTTTACATCTGAAGCTCCAGATATGGTCAAATTATATTTCTAGGGAACAAGTAAAAGGGAGACCTGATAGCTCGAAAAAGTGGAGTGTTTTTTCTACTCTTTTATCAAAACCAAAAACAAATTAAAAAAATGTCAGCTTGAGTTGCTGCATCATCGTTGTTGTTGTTGTAGTCTTGGGTCAATCAATTTGGCACCTACAACACTCCTTTACTTAAATAACTAGGCTATAATAGGCTACGCAGAATGTCAAAGCAAAGGTCTACTTTCATGTGTTGAGTAATCAAACGTAAGATAAATGGTTCATAAACATTTCATGCCCCGCATGGCAATATGCATTAGCCTAGGACGTTTCACTGTTTAGGAAGTTAACTTGGCTGGTATTGTTTGTTGCTGACTCAGATTTTGTGAATTTTTCACCAAACAATTACATTCAGATGCAGAAAATATGCTTTTGTGTCAGAGTTGGTGTTGCAGAGCATGATGTAAGTCTGAGTGGTCCAGCAAAAGGAGGTACGTACTGCTGGAGTAGTCCGGAGGAGCATACATGTCATTGAGGTGTACAGGTCCTGGCTTAGCCACTTTCAAATAGACCATGTCTGAAGTGTTTTTCAATGCAGCTACGGCCTCTTCATGACGCACGTCCTGCAGGACGATGTTATTCACCTACACATGCACACAAACACAACCACACACACACACATCATACAGGTCGGTCACTGGAGGGTGACTCCAGGAGGCTTGACACTGTGTTTGAGGTAATAGGAAGGAAACTGCCACGGAGAGGTGGCCGGATGGCCCTCGGCACGGTTTTCATTCTCCTGCCTTGCACTGCTCCACCATGAAGGGAAGGAGATTAAAAGCGGAAACCAGTTAAAGGCAGTGTGTTCTTTCCTTTCTGTATTTTAGTCAATTTAGTCAGTTAATTACATGGGCACATTAAGCTGAAAACCTGATCATATATATGATACTGCAAGTCATTTTGTGAGGAGAACTACATAAATCATAATATTTACATTCTGCTGTAAAGAGCTGGCAACCGAATAGGAGAGATGCAATATTTTTGGCAAGTGCATGGACATTTTGCATGCCTCCATGATGGCAGTCATAACTGATGACTGGGACATTATTTATGACAGTCCTGACATTATTGTGCAGAAGTCAGAGACCACCCTTCGTTTTTTTTCCATTAAGTACAAGATATTTATTTTTACAAGATATTTTTGAGGAGATAAAAGATAAGATAGAAAATAAGTGAAAAAAACGATTAAAACATATAGAAAAATTGGTACACTTAACAACTGTGTAAGATAAAAAAAGGAGAAAATCTGCATCAAATAACTAAGCTCCTAGTAAACAACACACCAGAACGATTACTTTGTCTGTGCGAAGCAGAAAATGCAACCAAATCCTAAGACTGAACATTAGAGGTATGAAAAAACTATCCCTGCAGATTTCTTTAAAAAACTGAAAGCAAGTCTTCCGAAAAGAATGGAAGGTATAACAAAGACAACGGGTGGGCACACTAAATACTGAAAAATCTGATATTATATTTGATTGTTGAGGCTTTCTTTTCCCGACGTTGAAAAATGAATAATTTGTATGTAACGGCCATTTTGACTGAAAATTATTTATTTGATTCTTTTTTAACTTTTGCACAGTACTATATATTGTCCAGCACTAGTGTTGAGTGGGGGAGAGCTTACAGCCAGGAGACGATCGCCTGTCTGCAGCCTTCCATCTTTCTGTGCAGCCCCGCCTTCAATGATCTTTGTGATATAGATGCTGTTGTCTCCAGGAATGTGCTGGTTGCCAATACCCCCGGCAATGCTGAAGCCCAGGCCTGCAAAACAATGTGAAATTAACAAATGAGAAAGATATTAGGATGGTGGTCTGACGCTAGACTAGTTAGTGTAAGAATGATTCAGTTCTCAACAGACCAAAATTCATTACTGTTAAATAATTTAACATAGTTACATTAGTGATACGTTGCATAATGTCACTCTAAAAGGGTGTGTTCATGTGCACGGGTACATTTGTATTTGCTCAAACCTTTAGGCCCTTTGAGTAGGTTGACCTCCAGGATGGTCTCAGGTGGAGCCTGTCTCCTGCGCACCAGCAACCGAACCACAGGCCCTGCCTCCTTCAGAGCCTCCACAGCCCGGCTGTGCACCACTTCTGACACATCCACCTCATTCACCCGCAACACACAGTCATTCACCCTGACAAACATACAGAGCATAGATTGCAAATTCACAATTCAACTGCGCACATACACTAGCCTTGTCAATCACAGTAACACATGACAAACCTGTCAAATAACAGCCTTACGGGTAATATATATACTGGGTACAACATTAGAAGGCTTCATTACACACATTTTCTTCACAGATTAACAAATATGCCCCTAGTTTAACTGCCTGCAATCCAGTTAAGAGGCCTTAAAAAATAAAATATATTAGCTACACAAAATGATGGAAATGCTACCTGAAAAAGGGAGCTTTTCAAAGCAACATGCTAGGCATGTGCCAACATAAACATTTAATAGCATAATAATTCAGGGTATCTGCACTTTTTTTAAGGGACTTTAGACGTTTAAGACCTCTACACGGAAAAAATAATCCCATTACTGCAGCAAAGGAAATCAATAAACTACAGTACAGTATGCACTGTTATTGAGTTTTATTGAAATTGAATAACAGAAATATTCAGTACACATTAGGTAACACGACTTCCTTCTCATTAACGAAAATAAAACTGGTGGTAGACCGGACAGATTTGCAGTGGACAAATCACCTTTAGTAGAAACAGTCAAAGTAGCCCTCAAATCAGAAGCTGGATAAACACCTTCTTCTTCTAATTTAATATGCAGATCACAGCCATACAAGGCATACTATCACCACCTACAAAGCGGAGTGTACGCTACCTATATAACATGCAAACAAATAGGCTGTGTTTGAAATAGCCTACTACATACTGCTCGCGTACTGATTCTGCCCAAAAGTTGTAAATAGTATGCAGAATGACCAGCATGAACTTCTCCAGTACACCAAAGATACTTGGATGATGTGCTGCTCCGGCAAAATATTCCGGCACACTGCCAGAGCGTGACATACTGCACCTCAAAATGCAACACGGCCATTCTGGGAGGATGTAACCACTGACATAACCACCTGGATATTTTGAATAGCCCTGGATTCAGCCTTTCTTCTATACATTAAAAACAGCAAAATGAAAGAAATTTGACCAAATGCTGCTGCACCTAGTGCCTCACTGAAGCCACATCAGCTTTCTCTGCATATTGTGAGGTGGGTTTGCTTACTTTGTCTATTTAAAAGTTAACAACGACTTACCCTCTTTCATGGTAAGGGGTCTCTTTTAGAAGTCACACAGACACATCTCTTGACCAAAATATAAACAATATAAAGCAACGGTTGCTAAGCAGTGATTGGAGGGCTGATGAAAATGGGGCGGGTCTTGAGATGATTCTGATTGGCTTAGTCCCTGATGTTGGCAGTCTTGTCGCACCTCTGTCCTGTAATACGGCACATGGCTTGTACTGTACTGTATACTACTGATGAAGAGCAGTATGCAGTATTCATTGTATACTGATGCAATATACAGTATACAGTACACAGTATGCGAACACAACCATACTGTAGGTATAGGCAAAGGCTTCATGTATCCTCTCTGGTTTAGGGCACATTGTGCTGCATTATGGGATCATTCTGCCATGCTGACAGAGTTTCGTTCAATACTCGCATTGTGAGAGCTTAAAGAGATTTTTGTTTTATTGTGGCTTTATTTGGTGAGACCATAAGTTACAGAACAGCCAATATCAAGGAACGCAGGTAGAAAAGTTAGATCCATGATGGTTGATTCCCCCTCAAAACACTGCCTCACATTCAAGCCCTATTGGACAGTGCAGAAAGGGTCATTTTTGTGGGTCAATTTAGGGTCAATATTTTTGAATATCCCGTTATACCTTATTATTGAATAACAGCACATAACTACAACATTCACATACTTCTTATTCATTTTAGTACTAATACCTTCTTGTACAAGTTGTACAAAGTTTTTTAAATACAGAGAATAAAGAGAATATTTAAAAAAACTTTGTACAACTTGTACAAGAAGGTATTAGTACTAAAATGAATAAGAAGTATGTGAATGTTGTATTTTTTTTTTTCTAAAGCAACATAAGACATCTAATACTTGAAGTGAGCAAAAATGAGTAATTGGACACAAACTGCAGTAGCACCAGCTACTAAAAAATTATAATGAATCAAAAGCTAAGGCTAATTTCAAAGAGGGCAGCGTTTCTAAGGAGGGAGGAAAGTGGTTAAAATGCGACATTCTCTGACAGACATTAGTTGCTAAAAATACTAAATGAGGGCCTAAAAATGCCCACAGAAGCCAATTTAAACCATCTTGACGTGATCTAAACCATAACTGTGCATTATTAGCTTCACAAAGCTGAAAAGTACTAGAAGTCTTCCAAATCAATTGTAACCACATAACCTGTTAGTAATTGGAGTGCTGGAAGAAGCAAATGGCTAGATGAGTCATGTTTTACTCTTTATTTCTACAACTGGATATGTTTTTTTTTTTTTTGTCCGAGGGAGCCCTATCTGGGCAACTTGATAGTGTGTAGGTTCTTGAAGTTTTGTTCAATTTACCACTAGAAATAGTTCTGAAAGGGTGATAATAATACTGTGATACTGGAGCTCAGGTTGTATGATGCATTATTTATCTGAAACATGACAGGTAGGTACTGGGAGTGTAATGGTACACAAAATTAAAAACCTGATTTATTTCTGAATGTGTCTTGCATTCATATGCTCATATTCATACGACTATGCACACAGTTTAAACGCTTGCACGCTAGGGGCATAATAATGTACATAGCATCAGGTTTCATACTATGTTTAATTTCAAGGTCAAGATTTAATTAGATTTTCAGTATCTGCATGTAAAAATGATTCTACACAGCTCTAACTGTACACTACACTGATTGGTTTGGCTCAGTTAAATACAAATTCTCAGACTGTGTCTGTCAATGTCCGTTGTTTAGCCCTTTAACAAAATAAATCATAAAAATCACAACCCCTAGAAGTTATAAATGGAGTTATGGAATGACTAAAGTTTAAGGGGTGGACTGTTCCTGAAACCTCTCCTCCTTCCAATGCAATCCCATAAATACCTTTCGTTTCCCATGATGAAGTTTTTGAAATCCCCACCACCACCCCACCTCCTTTCTGTTTCTCAGGTCTATCTGTCAGTCCTACCAATGTCCAAAAGGGAGCATCTGGCCTTTTAGCTCCAAGCAGAAGCCACCTAGAATTCAAAGTTCTCTGAGTTCTCTCCCTTCTCTCATACCACCACCATGGCCTGACCTCACAAGCTTATAAAAAGTCCAGTCATTTGAACATGGGAGCATGCATAACATACGCCCCTCCCCCTCCCAGCCCACTGACAGTATGCACACAGATGCCTTTTGATCACTGACAGTGGTTGATAATGATGATAAATGAAAGACCCTCAGAAGAAACACAGTCAATTTTGATGCACATTTCAAATTCGATTTTCCAATATGTACTAAAATCGTTAGACCCTCAGTAAGTATGCAGCTCATTATGAAATTAAGGGTTGTATGTATATTTCCATATCTGACATGTTTTTGTTGCAGTGCCTTTAAGACTGGTGTATGTAAATGAGCTCTGCACTGATTGCTGCCCTGTATTTTGCCTGAAATGCTGAAACATTCCTTCTTTACTCTATCTTTATTGTGAAAGGGTGAGGCTAATCAGCTGTAGGCTTGACTAGGTGGATATATTTATAAGGGTTGGTTTTTATGACATTACAAAAAATGATGAATTGAAAACAGCCTGTTTTTGCAGCTCAGTTTCCATATATGGCTCATACAGACTGGGGAGTGAGTGGTACATTTTGATACTTTAACAGTGTTTATATACTGCTTTAAACTCTTTTATTCAAAAAGCAAGACATTTTGTTTTTCCATGAAACTGTCCTTTAAAAGACACACAAACAGAAAATCTGATGAAACTTACTAGGATACTAAAGAATTAGGACAGTGGTTCTTGGGCAGTAGTTTACTAGGGCAGTGTGAGGTAAGCACAGAAAGCACAGGAAAGCATGACAGAGCAGAGAGAGTGTGGACTCACCCCAGTCTTCCATCCATGGCTGCTGCACCTCCAGGGATGATCTTAGTGATAAAGATTCCTGGATCATCAGGGATGTGTGGATTATCAATCCCTCCAGCAATACTGAAGCCAAGCCCAGAGTTGCCCTGTTGTATTGCAGGACAGGTGTTATACACAAGAACATACATAACCAGCATTCATAACAGGTCCTCAGGCATTTCAAACATATGTGGTTAGGAGATGAACACAAAAGCCTTTTCCTTAAAAGAAAAAATATCTTTCTAAGAGACATTCCATAAGTCTTTGTTCATTTATATGAAATCTCAGGCATATGGATAGCTTTTGAGATGGATGAAAGAAAGAACCTTTGCACTATACAAGGATTTGTGTTGCTCAAACACAAAAAAACCCTTAGAAATGTATTTGTTACACTAGTCCTTCATTGGTTCTCTCATTCTCCCACTGTTGTTCCACCCATTACTCCTTTCATCCACCCTCCCCTTTTCTTTTGAATCTAAAGCTGTGGATTGAGACTCGATGGTCTATCAGGCACGTCAGAGATGGGCCCCAAAAGAAGACAGCTGAGAAAAGATTTCACTTTATTATTTTCTATAATTAATGAGTAACAGTCGTAGCAAATTAGGACAGAGGGAGGCTGAGGTGTCCCAGCCAGAGGCTCCTGAGCCAGAGTGAGCACGCTGGGTCCCACTGCCAAATGTTACACACCCACGGACCTTTTAACGTGTGATCCTACATAGTTTATTTAGGCCTCAGCATGCAGAAATGCCACTTAGCGGAGGAGCAGCCCTGCAATTATCCTGAAAGCCCAGAGATGCATCCAGACCTGTGGGAGGACGAAGGCCCACAGAGCTCTGCCAATGCGCTGACCCTTCTCCACCAGCTAGCGCTGTTTCATGGATGCTATATACTGCCTGATTAAAACTACATGACTTTGCTTTATACAAGATGGAGGAATGCAGAGAGAGCCCAGGCCCTATAAAAGCTATTTATTCACTCGGGTCTCACTGTTTAACGCTCACTTAAAAATAGGCTCTTCTTGGGAACACATTGTCTTATGTAGTCAGATGCAGCACTGGAATTTAAATGAATTATGAGTGTAGAAGGACTGTGGTGATTTGTAAGCATTTGCTTATTGAGAAGCCATTTCACTGCGGTGTCTCCTGTTTCATCCTGAGAACACTATTTATTGCCATCTAGTGGCCAGATCTGCACAGGTAGCACATTAGAGAGAGCATGCACAAATGTCAGTGCAGAAACTGCTAAAATAAAAAAAAAGATGTATGCAGTAGCACAATGATATTCACCCTTTCCAAAATGATTTCTTCATATTTGTACATGCCGTCACTCCCATTCACCTGTAATTAGCAAAAGGAGGATTAGTTCATGTACAGTGCTGACATAATTTACTTTAGGCAAAGAAAAAAAATGTTTGAGAGATATCATGACCTTAGACTCAAAAGGGTAAATACTGCCAGCTACATCAATGTACTGTAAACAGTACAGATTTTGCGTAAGTAGATTAGTACTAATGACAGTCTAAAACACTACAAAATCTCACATTAAACCACGCACTCTGTCAATTAGTATAGTCCTTGTTTGTATCTTATTCATCTCAAACACATACAGGAAAGGGCTAGGTCAGACCAAAGGGAATAATTCCACGTGGCAGGCAAGCAGGGACTATTGGAGGTGCACTCAGAGAGACAACAGATACTTACATAAGGGCCTGCATCCAGTGAATCTGCGTTGACAATGATGGGAGGAGGGTTCGCCTGGAAGATAAAGAGATGCGCATTACCTCAGTGTGTGAGGCTGGCTACTCACACATACACACACACACGTGCTGTCAGGGGGTGAGGAGAAAATAAATGCATGCCATGGGAACAGCTAGTGTGCCTCAGTGGAACACGGTACATCATCAGCATGGTGTGATGCCGTAGGGAGAGTAGCGGAAACAGGACTGAAGGTGTTAGGATTACAATGGCCTGTGGTTCTGAGTTGAAGCAAACTGTATCTACAGCAAGAGAGACAAACAACGCTGTGCACAATTCCCCCTGGACTACACAGTATATTCCATTTCTAACATATCTACTTTGAGGTGTTCGCATATGTCAGAAACAGAGATAACGGACACAGTAATGTGTTCAAAATTCAGTACCGTACAGGCTCATATATATATATATACATATATATATATACACATAGACTTTTTTTTTAGTACATTCACAAGGCACCCAATGCTCTGAATGTGAATGAGAAGACACAGACAGATCACAGGCTGATATTAATGCCATTTCACACGCAGACCTTGCTGGATTTCTCGATACTCAGGATGCTGACAGTGCTGCAAAGCAGCTAGAAGCCTCCCAATAGACATTTTAAACCTTACTATGTGACTAAAACTACTATTTGTAGCCCTTACAAAAACGGTACCAATAATGCATTACAATATTTCACTTATATTCCGTAATATATTGTCTGCATATTCAATTTACAAAAAAGGTGAAAAAGGCAAAAACCTTATCATGGAAACTCACTAACTGAAAGAGGTGCTTAAATGGTATATCTGCTAAATCTGTGGATCATTCCACAAAGCTAATTTATGACCGATGCACTTGGAAAAAAGAAACAAAAACCAAAACCATTTACAAGTGAAGGCAAAAACTTTCATATACTTTTCATGTAAGTTAATGTAAAAAGATTTAATTGCAAGGAAATTTGGAGCATTTCTACTGACCCACTCATTGTGAAATTTTCAAGGGCAGCTGCTGCACTGATATGATGTAGAAAAATACAAAGTGGAAAAAAAATGGAGATTTTTTTTGTTTTGTTTTATTTATTTTAGTTATTTTATTTATAGCAATGATATTCTTGTTAGAGGTGGGCGATATGGCGAAAAATATAGTATTAAAAAATATTTTCAGAAATTTTTAGAATACATTATATGCATTTAAGTAGGGTTTTTTTCTTTTGAATCAAAGGAAGCCTTTTACAGCACTTTTCCTGCCCCCAACTGGCTGACATGATAGTGCATCTGTTCTTCTTGAAGAATCGTTCAATTTTCCAATAATCCATTCCAAACCTGCACAGCAGCATTCCAAGAAGGAACTGAAACCACTCTGAAGATTTAAGGAACCCCCTAATTCATTATTGCTGATATAACCGTATGTTGCTTGGTGTTTCCATTATTTTCCTATCCCCTGCAAATGTTAATCTGCTTATTGTTCTTGGAATCTACAGCTCTCAATTTCGCATTATTTTGATTGCCATCATGCTATCATGAGCCGTATTTTGCAGTAACTAAACTCTCCACTATTCGCAAAATACCGCAAATACCGCAAATACCACCAGACAGCACCACAGCAGTATGTAAAGTACAGCGATAGATCACAGACAGTCACACTTTAGATTCTCTCCCATTTTCATTGCCATTGTAGCTTTATAATAACAGCTGCTGAATTATTTCTCTGCTTCACTCACAGCTGAAAAGAGCAGATGGAGTACGAGCTTTTCTTCTGTCACAGGTTCCATTTTCACCTGACTCTTCCTGCTTCCAGACAGAGCCTTGCAGGTACAGCAGGACACGTACAACACAGCCTGTTCTTCCCAAGATGACGCACTTCATAAACCACTAACACACATCCTGCCTTATTATCTAGTTACTGCTTATCTTTCAGTTCAGCCATAAATTACTTTGTATTCAAACAATATTGTCTCATATGGTAACCTTTTAATTAAAAAGAGAATCGTTGTTATAAGTGTGTATTATAAGTGTGAATTTCTTTCTTGTGTCTTTTAGTAAATACGTCAGAAACATAAAAATCAGCTATTGAGTACAAATTTATATCATTTTAAAGCCTGAATCAGTGTTTGTAGCAAGTAAATGTGGTACTTTACCACTACAACCTGAAACACTAAGAAGGGAGGGAGATACCCTACTAAAGTTCATGAGCTGAGATCTGAATGAACCAAGTGTGGTCAATGACACAGTGAGGTAGGGCTGGGCAATAAGTCAATATGTATCATTATGGATATCATCAGTACTTAAAGAACACTGATCAACTGCATGTTTCATTACAAAGAGAGCATTATAAGTCCTGTTTAATCGGAATTTGTGCAGTGCTGTGCATATTTTATAAAAATAACTGTATGCAAGATGTCAGGAAAGGATGGTGGCATATCGTGTAAATGATCATGATATTATATTTTTGCCATATCTCCCATCTCTACTGAAAGGTTCTAGTCATTTAGAAATATTTTGTTTTTAAATAACTGAACTAAAACTTTAATTATTTTGCAAGGTATGTAAAATGTCATCTCTGAAAATCAGCTAAAATACATAATTAAGTCTATCTTAAAAATGTCTGATTGAGGTCTTAATTGTAGCCCTCCAACTACCAAGTTTACCCTATCCCCTATCCCCTCGTCACATACAACAACGCATGTACCAAAGCCACAAGACACATTTTGGAGTTGGGAACACACTGCATAAATAGCATTAAGGCTGAGGAACAGGAGAATTCAGAACAATATGTTCCTTAAGTAACACTGCCACAGCTATCAGTGAGATAAAAGAGTCATCTGACTTTTACTGAAATTTTGTTAAACCAAATGCCATTTTAACCTGTTTGTGAAAAGAGATCTGTGACAAATGATTCAAATCTTCATGTGCTTCTAACAGCACCAAAAACAATTAATTGCATTTATATACCAATCCATATTGGCTCATCACTGGCTCAACATTGCTATTCTTGCTTAAAAGGAGCCACATGTAGTGGCTGATAGCACACTGTGAAATTATTATAGCCTTCTCAACTACTGAATTTCACAAATGGACATTACACTTCGTTATTATGTGCAGGGAACTGTAGTGAAGGCGAGGACAAGCAAAGCAACATATAGCCTGCAATAAGGTAGTGTCAACTGCCCAGCTTGCTAATTAGGTATGAAAACATGTCATAGCAATTACCAACAAACCACCCACAGTCTCAGGCCTGTAAAAGCTATCATCCTAGTCTGGGATTTTGTCTATAATCCCACATCTTTATAGCAATACACACACAAACAAGATGAAACAGGACAGTAATCTGAGCGGGGGCCACCCTGCGTGCGGCTGTCCTCGGAGAAAGAGAAGGTAAGCGAGGGTGAATGAGTCGTCCACAGTGCTGCAGCATCACCGCAGCAGTGACAGCAGCACATGACCTGGAGAGTCCATGTCCTGGAGAGAGGCTTACACGGTCTGAACCTTGCTGCACATCACTCTGTTCAACACTAACTCACTATCCCAGATTAAAACCATGCTGGGTGAGGGAGAGAGAAAGAGAGAGAGAGAGAGAAAGAGAGAGAGAGAGAAGGAGAGAGAGAGAGAGAGAGAGAGAGAGAGAGAGAAAGAGAGAGAGAATGGGGTGAGCTTATGCAGGGATGGCTGACAAGAGGTGAGAGGGTGAAGAGAAAAAAGGGGAGAGCAGTAAAAGGTTGGAGGGTGTCCAGATGTGGCAGAAGGGGGTAGACGAAGGGCCATGGGTGGAATTAACCAAATCTGGATTAGATTATCATAAATCCCTTAATTTCCTTTTAATTCAAACACTAATCATTAAAAGGCTGTTATCCAGCCAGCTGTCGCTGTTCACTTCTCTCCAGCTGCAACGCACAGGGCCAGACACACCCACAAATACACACATATGCAAAACAGCACTGGGCAGTTCATTTATTGCAACTGTTGCTTGGGCTCCGGTTTGCTCGTTAAAGAGGTGAATTGATATTAGCTCACAGCACCGCTTCCCCTGACAAGCTTTAGTCATTGGACTCGGTCCCTTGGGACAGCAATCTGACAAAGGCTCTCGATGAACCTTGGCAAGCGGCAGGACAAGCGCCTCATCCAAACTACTAAATAATCAATGTGTTCCCATGGCGACGGCCACCCTGGCTACCGCGCTGGCTGCATGGAGCGGATAGAGCCCTCCCCCTCCAGGTTTGTCTCTCTCAGGACAGAACGGCAAAGGCTCGGGCCCCTCCTGCCCGCAGCCTAGTGTGTGGTTAGCACAACCATTCAGCAGACAGACTGGCTGTGTCACATTCAGCTCGCCTCTAAAAGCGGCCTGCCCCGGAGCTGCAACACAGCGGCCAGGTGGGGGAGACTGTCCATTACACAGCCACGACGATCACCACTATTCACTGCCAGATAGCTTTCGGGTGAATCCACACTCAATGTGACTCGATGTGTCAAAGCACCCTTGACATTTTCGGAACTTAATTGTTTCTAAATAAAGATGTGTTTGTGCAGAAAATAAGTGTGAACAGTTTTGTAACATTTAAAATAGTAGCAACAACAGACATGTTTTGTAGTATTTCACAGGGGGGCAAAACTGCTGTTCGCTAGCTTAATAATGCTTGACATCCTTTCTATGTTCAATTAATGCACAATTCACTTTACCCGGCAAGTAGCAATATTGCTTACCGTGCTTTTTCAGAATTATAGCAGCAATCCCTATTGGACTTTCCACACTATACTCCCTCTTTTGCATTACCTGTCCTTACTCACGGTTTCACGGCCTGCAATATCTTTATTTGGCTCATTTTTGTACTCTCATGCTTGTACAGTTGAATGTCTTTTGCTGTAAACTGAGTTTTTGCTGCTTTGTTCCACATCAGTCCTTCATAACATATGAGGATTAGCTATATTTTAATACACTTATGTGCAGTGCACAGTTGTTCATATTTACATATGGACGCATACCGTACTTACATTCCACATTTGACTGTTTCAGATTTG